TATGGCAAAACAAACAATAGAGAGTTTGTCTCACCTAATTCGAGAAAAGGATGAGGAGATCGGCAACCTTAAAAATGCATTACAACTTGCCAAAGATAATGCAGAGACGTTGGATCAATTCGTTACCGTGAAGAATGAACGGGACGAGCTCGTGAAATTAGTTACTATTAAGCATAACGAGAGTTTACAATATCATGCAGAAATTCAAAGATTGACGCAATTGTTGAACGAGCAAGCCTCGCAGGTTCGAAGTTTATTGGCGGAAAGAGATCTACATCAATCAGAATTAAAGGAGAAAGACGCCGAACTTTTGTGGACGAGGAGCGAGTTGCAGGCGGTTCAGCAACGGTTGAAGAACGCCGAAGAATCGAGCAAAGGAGAAACTTGCGGGATCGTAGAGCATACAACGCAGGCCGCGGAAATCTCAATTCTCATCGAGAAGTGTAACGCGTTAGAAGCGGCGCTGATTCAAGAGCAATCGAACAACCGAATGTTGCAGAATCAATTCAGCGAAAGCCAAAGTAAAGAGGCAAACGCCGCGAAAGAGTTGGAGAGGCTGCGAGCGCATTTGGTGGAAATAGAATCGAGCTACACGGAGGATGCTTTACTCGCTGAGGAGGCCAGGAAGCAATTAGAGGCAAAATTGCAACAGGCTGAGGAAAAAGTGAAATCTAGCTCGACCGCATACACGTCTGCGAATATAAGAGCGAATCAGCAAGTGGAAACCCTGCAACAACAGATGGCATTGATTATTCAGCAAAGAAGTGAAATACAGAACAAATTGTCCGCTGCTGAAGATAAAATACTCTCGCAGACGGCTTCTTTAACTAATCTACAAATCGTTCTGGAGCAGTTCCAACGAGGTAGCTTATAGTGAAATACAATCGTGAACGATATTATGTCGGCACACTTCAAAATAAAATAACTCTTTTAATATTGGATCGAACAACATACTTTTTGGAATGATAAAGACATAGTTTATTATGTAAAAAAGATTTTAAGAAAGTCTTCGAGTATCCCACAGAAAATTATTTGTTTTTAAAGTTATTCCATTTCGAATTGTGGCCACTTAATATTCACTACGACTATACTTTTATTTTTTATAAATGATTATTGTTTACTTTTACTATTTTTAGATAAAGAGAGAGATATCGTGGCGGCAACAGAAAGAATTCAGTCCAAGTTAAACGAATCTTATAAAAGACAAGAAGAATTGATCAATGAAATTATAAATCTCAAGGTAGTCTTACATACTTGTTATATTAATATTGGAAACGTAGTTCTTACTTTTGTAGCACGAAATAATACATTGTTATAATTGCTGTCCATAGGAACAATTAGCTGAGGCTAAAGAATGCTTACAAGCGGCTTCCAGATTAAGTGAGGAGCTAGATAGAAAAACGGAACGTATCGAACAACTTAGCCAAGAAGGTATTCGATTTCATAATTACTATAAGACGATATTTGTCTGCATCTTGTTTTTTTTCTCCACATTTCGCATGATTAGCATTATTTGCAATCAAAGTACCTGCCCAATCATAATTTTGCAATAGCAACAATTTTTATACATTCGCAAAAATATTTACAAACATTCATTAGATTTTGTGTAATCAATTTTACCTCATTTAATACCATTTTTTTTAATCAAATGCAAAGTAAATAATACGCATCTGCGCTTCATTGTTGTGGTAACGAAAATCAGATTTTTCTGTGTGCGATTTCTTTTTATCAAACGGAATTGAAACTAAACTAAGAATAGTTTTTGGAATGATGCTTGGCATAGCGTAATTATTAAAATTTGTATTATTAATTACCATACACCATTAAATACTAAAGACTGTTATGTTGAGAATAATCCGTTCCTCTTTACACTAGCAATAGTAGCAATACGTTTTAATTTGTAGCGCAAAGTAAAATTCATAACCGGATTATTCTCATGTAAATAATAAATTTTTTTTAAGTGGATATCCGTATTTTGCAAAGTAATCGTATATACGTAGATTAAATACATTTTTTACCTCGATCACTAATAGAATACCTCAAATATTGCACTGATATTGATCACATGCTACGTCTAGTATAAACATTATTAATTTTGGAACAATGTATACAGTAGACTCTCGTGTAACGCGATAAATAAAATACAGGAATTTCCTACAGTCTAGAATTAAATCTACTTTAGTTGAGCATAACATTGCTTGTTTCATTGTCACCGACGACTTTTATTTTCATGCATTCCTAATTCATATAATGTGTGACGTATTAACCGCGTTATGCGAGAGTCTACTGTACAAAAAGTATTGTGTATATAAAATAAGGAAACACACGTGATGAAATTATACTCGCAGTCAGCCAGCCTGTAAATCAATTTTACACCAAATTTTCTAATTGCAATAATTGATGCACTGGTTGAGAAGGTTGCAAATCCTCTTACTACAACCCCCGCCCCCTCCATCGCCCCCCTTATCATCGGTTTGAGTGTGATCTGTGACTAATCTGCAAAAAAGCAAAAACACGTAGACAATCCGGCGGCGTAGTCAAATATCAGCTGGTAATTCTGGGATTTTTGACAAGAGCCCAGGATTCTTGCTGGTATCCGGCTACGAGCTGGACGATCGCCTTACCGCACTAAATCACACATCTTCACGTTGGCTCATGCATTGCCACTGGTGCTGGTGCTATCTTCTCTTATGTTTTTCTAAATACAAATACCCCATTACTAACATGAAGTACTGCTAAACGGCACGAAAATAGTGTCATTAGATTTATATTACTAAAGTTCATTTTGCACCTAATTAATATGTAAATCTGTTTTTACAATTTGTACTTCCGCACAGTATACGAGTGGTGCATTACATAATATTCCGGCATTCTCTCTTTATCCTTGAGGGAAAAAAACTGCTAGCTGCTATGAGTTTGCAATACTAGTATGTTATAAACCAGGAAATGATATAATAGCGATGTTACATGAATGACGAATGTATTTTTATTACACTGATTGATCGCGTTCCGACTGTATCTCCAATAATATTTTCTAATCCATAATTTCAAGCGTTAAATTTTGACGATTAAATGCAAGGGGCCGAGACATTATTTGGTCTTACACGTATTGGAACAAGCTATAACGTATTGTAGGCAAATCTGTGTAAAGATAAAGTTTGGTAGCGCTGGAGTGGGTAATCTCATGCGGTAACTGTGAGCGTGTGAATTGTAAGAGCTCATATTACCTCGTGGGGTTTCCCACCCGTTACCATTATCCTACAGGGATGATATATGTAGTATGTAGCTAAAACAATTCGTTTTCATATTTGCGACGTATACAGTCTTCTATTTTATATGCTGATCGACTAGAAAACTGAATATTAGTATTTTTCTTGTAACAGTATCGTGAATATCGTATTAGATTTGTTATGCATATTTTTTAACTAGTTTCATTTGTAAGGAATTGGATTAAAAATATAGGATTAGGATAGTCCAACACTGTCCAACTTCTCTTAGTTCGTTTTCTCTCTTACAAACGTTTCGGGAGCCAACGGAGGGCATATAATCAAAAAGTCAATTAATGCCACATAGAAAATTAGTTTATTTCTACGAAAACAGTTCATTAAAATAGTGTGACAAAAATATATGCAAAATCTCAATGAGTCCTTTATGGACGTAATTATTGAGCAACCATCTTTTTTTATATCCATGTCAATATTATACCGGTTTTTTGTAACATCATAACGGC